AAATTCATTAACGATCATCCACTATTAACGGAGATATAAGCAAAAATATGTCAAAAAATTTCATTTTTAATTTTTTACACCCCCTCCGACGGCACTGCAAATTGATTTGATCTTGTACGTGATATCTATGTATAATGTGCTACATTACAGTGAGAAATTCATTAACGATCATCCACTATTAACGGAGATATAAGCAAAAATATGTCAAAAAATTTCATTTTTAATTTTTTACACCCCCTCCGACGGCACTGCAAATTGATTTGATCTTGTACATGATATCTATATATAATGTGCTACATTACAGTAAGAAATTCATTAACGATCATCCACTATTAACGAAGATATAAGCAAAAATATGTCTAAAAATTTCATTTTTAATTTTTTACACCCCCTCCGACGGCATTGCAAATTGATTTGATCTTGTACATGATATCTATATATAATGTGCTACATTACACTAAGAAATTCATTAACGATCATCCACTATTAACGAAGATATAAGCAAAAATATGTCAAAAAATTTAATTTTTTACACCCCCTCCGACGGCACTGCAAATTGATTCGATCTTGTACGTGACATCTATGAATAATGTGCTACATTACAGTGAGAAATTTATTAACGATCATCCACTATTAACTGAGATATAAGCAAAAATATGTCAAAAAATTTCATTTTTAATTTTTTACACCTCCTCCGACGACACTGCAAATTGATTTGATCTTGTACGTGATATCTATGTATGATGTGCTACATTACAGTGAAAAATCCTTTAACGATCATCCACTATTAACTGAGATATAAGCAAAAATATGTCAAAAATGTCATTTTTAAGTTTTTACACCCCCTCCGATGGCACTGCAAATTGATTTGATCTTGTACGTGACATCTATGAATAATGTGCTACATTACAATGAGAAATTCATCAACGATCATCCACTATTATCGGAGATATAAGCAAAAATATGTCAAAAAATTTCATTTTTAATTTTTTTCACCCTCTCCGACGGCACTGCAAATTGATTTGATCTTGCACGTGATATCTATGTATGATGTGCTACATCACAGTGAAAAATCCTTTAACGATCATCCACTATTAACTAAGATATAAGCAAAAATATGTCAAAAAATGTCATTTTTAATTTTTTACACCCTCTCCGACGGCACTGCAAATTGATTTGATCTTGTGCATGACATCAATGAATAATGTGCTACATCACAGTGGAAAATTCATCAACGATCATCCACTATTACCGCTGATATAAGAAAAAATATGTTAAAAATATCAGTTTTTATTTTTTCCACTTTCATACTCTGCAAAAATTTTTCAAGAAATCAAAAGATAAGACATTGATAAATTAGGAATCTTTCGTTTCTAATACATTCAGGGCATCCTTAAAATCTAAAACTATTATTTTCATAATATATTACAATTTGGGGCATACAAAAGCGTGGCTAGGAATTATGCGAAATTTGGCAACAATGGACGGATATTCTCCTCTATCCCGATGTCGATGGTCTACACGTCAAAAAGCGTGGCTAGAAAAGCGNTGATTTACGGAACATATTCATTGCCATGTTTTAGTTCCGACATTCTGTGTCCAGTGTCCAAGTTTCAAGTTTAATCACAGAGTATATTTCACTCTTATGTGTGGTTTGTTCTAGTTCTCAGTCCGTACTGTTTCGAATTGTCTTAAATCAGTAAGTCAGTTATGAACTGAAAAGATTTACGCGGCAATATATTCAGTATACAGTTGGGTGACTTTTTTCTGATTGTTAGGAGTTCCGGCAGACAACCAGAACAGGCTAGTGGTTTATCTTTTTCTTTCTCTAGTTTCTATGGACGTTGCTTCCTGCGCGACGCATTTAGCTAGTTATCCTCTTGTTACACCGTAGCCCTCATCATAGAACTTATTTCTTGTTCTTATAGACTCCACTCGTCACTTGGCAATTTGAGTGCGTATTCCCTTGGTTTCTGCTTCCATGATTCTCAAATTGTAAGGGGTATATTTTTTGAAAATATTCATTTTTGGGAAAGAAAGATTTTGGCTTTCTACTTCTCCATTTATATACAAAAAAATGGGAATCTTCCAAAGAAAAGACAAAATCAATTATTCTCAAATATGAACAAAGATGGAGATCATGCAAAGAAGTAACTCTCGAAACAACTAGTTTTGTATATACGAGTAAAAATTGAATTACGCGATAGAAATATACTTTCCAAACAACTACTTTTACAAGAATATTGGATTATACAAATTTATCCTATTCAGTTTGTACTCCAAACATTCGTTATGGAATCTAATCAGATTTTTGGAAATATTCCTGCATTTGTTTTATAAAGATGAAAAAGTAGAAAGCCAAAAACTTATTCTGTGTTCGATCGTCATTGAGATTGCAGCTAAAAATCCTTAGACGTATTGGTTATTAAGGTTATTAAGAATAAAAAAGGTGTGCTTTTATCAATTGATATTTCATTTTACACCATATCTTAAATTCAGGTAATTTTTGTATATAATATAGTAATTAAGATAATAACGCAAACGCTGAATCATGATGAATTTGGATAGAGGGAGTAATTTGCCTCGCCGCCGAAAAATTATATGTTTTGAAGATTAAAAATTCAGAATGAAAATGAAATAACGAACAGCGCTGATGTTGAGTTAAGAAGTATATTTATTTTATTTACAAAGTGAAAGATCAACAGGCAATTATGCAGATATAATAAATAAAGATATGACAACAAGAGGGGAAGGAACGGAAGGAGATTCAAATATGCTAAAAATAAATAACCTTGAAGGACAATAAAAAAGGCCAAACCTTTTTTTATGAAACAGGGGTAATCGGTCCATATGTAATAAATGGTGAATCCACTGAAAAATTGGGAAATAATACAGGGAGTTACAACCATTAGTAAATTATGAAAATCATATGTGATATGAATATTCACAACATTATTAGATATTCAAAAAAACACTTTATTGTGAGATTTTCACTATATAGTTTTACAAAACCGCAAAAACCGTTTCGCTATACAAAAAAAGCAATTGTATGTTTCAAGGAGAGATTTAATAAAACTGACTAGAATCGGCAATACCCAAATGTAAAACCACACATAAAACGAAGGTTCCAATGAATATAACAATTGCGTCAGAAAAGATGATCACACTGGACTTGAAATGGGATCTACACATCGAACATTTCACCAAGAGAGCATAACAAGGAATAAACTTTGTAATAGTTGGTTGGGGGTGCAGATCCTAAAAGTATACTAGTGGCATACAACGAAATCATTAAATCAAATCTAGAATTTGAAAGTATACTATTCAGAGCATGCACCGAGAAAGATATAGATGAATTAAACAAGAGTGATGATCATACTGGAAATATTGGGCAGAATATCCAAAAATGAACAAGGATACTGGAAAATTAGGAACCCCCTTATTTAGTCGAAGCCTTGGAGAAATTA